CTGCAAACAGAAAGAACAAACATAACAATACAACTTTTTTTTCTTTTTAATATGTCGCAGTCGTCTCTGATTGAAGTGAGAATATTTGATTTTTAAACAACCACACGACCGTACATAGCCTTGAAATGGTTTTGAAAATCCGTAAATCCATACCACGATAAGACCTCTCTGTCTCGAAGTGGTGTGAAGAACAAATCACTGAATACATTTGATCTGATTCATAATTCATAAGTCAATGTTGCACGACGTTTTTTATATGGAATGATATAAAAATGGAATAAGTCCTTCTGCAAATAATGCCTCTGCGATAAGAGCGTGAGAGCAGAGCGCATTAAAGCTACACATGATAAAGTCCCTTGTTAAACTAAGCTTAGGAAAAGTAATTCTACTGTAATTTTGTACCCGCTTGTGTAGTGCCCCAGGAACCAGTGGATAGAGAAGATAAAGATTACCGCATACTCTGGGAAGTATTTCGAAAGGATTGCGGTACTTTTTATTAATTCATCAACATTTGCATAATAGTAATAATTGTTTTACTGCTTGACTAATAAAATACACACACACGCACATGCACACGCACTCACACTGACAAACCATAACTCAAAATGCAGTAAGCTACGTGCCACTGCTATAGCCCACAATGGCATGACGGCTGGTACAGTATACAAGTTTTAATATTCCAGTAAATTCCAGGACTTGGTGGGCAGAAAAATCTATGCATTTGGTTTTGAGCATGTTGATAAGCAGGGCCACTCTAATGTATGAAAAGGCCCAGGATGGAAGCCCCCGTCAATGCCAAACCTAACCCCAGATCCCACAAAAACCCCAACCATGCTACTCCTATATGAATTCAAATACATGTAGCAGTGTGTATAACAAAATACAGTATGAAAAAAAAAAACTAAAGCACAGTCTCTATCAAGCAACAAGAAGAAAACCTGTAAAGTGTTTTTTTCTCTTAAAGCTGGAGTATCTTTGAAACCATAACTAGTATATTGCTCTCTCTTTTTCATCAGCTCTTTCAGTGAAAAAGAGAGTAGCGGCCTCACTCGGCCAATCAGCTCTCAGTATGTGAAGGATAACATGTTTTCTACTAAGATAAAGATGGCATGTTACAAGATTCTTCTGTTATGATGAACTAAATGTGTTGATGAAGCTAAAAAGAGACTCCAGCTTTAATGTAGATTGGATAGGTTTGATGAGGAATAAAACTGTGCACCATAGATATAAGATTAAGGTTAAGAGATCCTTTATTCGACCCACAGTGGGAAAATGTCAGTGTTGCATCGTAAGTTACTGAATAGTAGGAATGATGAGCACAATAATCTATAATGTTTTTTAAAACTGGTTTTATTTAGCGCTTTTTTCAGATATTCCTTATCCTATTTCTACTTTTATAACTTGTCGTTTGCTTGTCGGGTGTTAAAGCAATCTCCTAGCTTGTGACTTCCTGTTACTCACAATGGCAATACAAATAATTCAGATTCTGAATCCCTGCCGTGAGGAGTTTGTGATTGTGTGACATCTCTCCAGACGACTGTTTTGGGCGATACAAAGACAATTTACTTGATTTGATTTTGATGTTTTCAAATCAAATCAAAGACATACAGGCCTGTTGTGATTACAAATATATTTCACTTCTGAATGTAGAGGGCGCCATACTAAACAAGAAGAAACATCCTTGGGGCACAACGCTCATATCCAACTCAATTTGCAGTGGACGTAATGACCACAAAGTGCACAATGAGACACCGGGAAGATGTATTACCTCTCTTGTGTTTATGACATAGCACGCTGCAGGCTTCTTTTATCATAATAGAACTCCACAATGGCCCAATGGTGAACGTAAGGTAAATGGAGACCTGTGCCCATTGCCAAGTACACCCACGAGCTTACCAGGGCCCATTTGTCATCCCATATTTCAACTGCACAGAAAATGTATACATTTTGGCGTCTACTGCATGTCCGACCGCAGTGTTCACGGGATGGGAGGGGCCGTGCATGTAATTGCCGGTTGTCACAGTAACCCCTGGACCCTGATGGATGGCATGAGGTGAGTATGGACGTGAGGTGACCTGAGAGATCGAGGCGGGGGAGAAAGGGGGGGGGGGGGGGGGGGCAGGATCGAAAATGCTGATGGGAGATCAAGGTCAACAGGTTTATCCACCCTGCCACCTCGTGTGTCCAGAGCAAGTGTGGCCAGAGCAGGAGAGGACGGTAACTCAGGCAAACGGCAAGGTCTCGGCCACTGCGTCAGAATTGAGAGAGCTTTAAGCTAATGATCAGAGCGTTAGAATACATTTATGACCGTCTGTGCTGAGGCTGCGACTGAGCCGACGGGAGATGCACTATCACCGCCAGGCTAATGTGCTCAGAAGAGTGAGTTCAGAAAAATATGCATATAGTAAAAAGGGAAAGCCATGAATATAAATGTTGATGTTCTGTTTTCATACTAGACTAGACTAGAATTGGCTGATAGCAGTTTCTAGTTGTCTTGATCACACAGTATGAGCTGCTGTAAATGTTTCTGAGATTTCCTGAATGTAAGTGTAAATGTTGCCTGTACTCAAATGTTGGTAATTTTAAAACATTTTCATCTTAACTGAACCAGAGTTTAAATGGAGATCAGAATAATCAGAATAATCAGAATAATTTTTATTGCCACGTAGGTAACAGGAAGTCACAGACTTGGAAATTGCTTTGGCTCAGTGCAACAGTTAGAGAGATAATAAAAAATAAAGAATAAAAAACACTCAGGAGAAATTGTGAGCGTCAGAATCACTGAAATCCAGGGTCTTTCAGATTAAAGCTCAAATAATCCCACAATAATCAGCCACCACAGTTATGAGCCTGGTGTGTGTGAATGATTGGTGGTGGTCAAAAGGTCTAATCATGGCACAGATAAATTGCATTGCTTCCATCAGTCTGCCCCACGGCAGCTGTGGCTTCAGTAATAGTTCACTTGCACTGTGTATTAATGGAATAAATAATGCCATGTAGCGTCTTTGGGTGTCAAGAAATCTAAATGAGTTGTTAGTGGTTAAACACTGATACATTTGACTCCTAACAAAACAGGTTCCTGTTCTGTCCATATATGGGGTTCCTGTTGTTCCCAAGACAACAACAAGGTCAAAGAGATGACACTAATTCTTGATGGATTAGATGAATGCAAAGATAATAGAGCTTGATCTTCACTTTAACCCTTTGATGATATCTCCTTATAAAGTGAAGGTCATTGATCCGTGGTAGCTCGAGCTCATCAAACATTGACAAAGTCTTTGCCATTGTATTAATATTTGTCCTCTCATAATCGAAGCATATTAGTCTAAATGTATAATCAATGTGTTTTGGGCAGCGGCCTTTCCATCTCTGCTCTGAGTGAACCCAGTGTCGCACTGATTCATCCTCGGTGTCTCGGGGAGTGGACAGAATAACTGCACCTTTGAAAGTCGTTTCGGGAGCGGACTCTTTGCTGGCACTGACTCACTCGCTGTTGTTTGCACACGTCAGCTGTCCTGGGATGTGTCCTGTCCTCATACTTTGGAGGTCCACATCGTTCCAGTACCCTCCCCCAGACAAACTTTTTCTCACCCCGGCTCTGCTACAGGATCATATTTTTAGGCTTTTATTGATAATCTGTAAACAAAAGCTTTTATCTAAATTGATATGTGGCTTTTAATGCACTGTAATTTGGCTTTTAGTGAAAATCACCTATTGGACTGAAGCCTCAAACACTCACTTCACATCATGGGAAACACCAGATAAGTGGTGAATTCAAATGTAGTGTAATTATCAGTTTTTTCCCAATGACCAAATGATAAACTAGCTTTTAAAAATCCTCTTCACTCCACTGGCTTACTCTAATATTTGGTGTTGTGTTCTTGTCATGGTTGTTATTTTTAGTTCCTGTTTTTGTTTTGTATTGTCTGTTCTCTTGTGTCTTTTTTGAGTTTCACTTCCTGTTCTGTTGAGTGCCTGCCCCGCCCCCATGCGTTTCACCTGTGTCCCACAGTTAGGCCCCGTCCCAATACTCGCACTTCCACCCTCGCACCCCTCATTTGCGCGTTCCCGATAAAGGGTGCGAGTGCGTAGGGTGTCCCAATTCTCCAGGGAGGTCTTTGGCCCCGCCCCCTTTGCGCCCCTGATCCACACTTCGCCGTAGCCTGCATCTATGCGCACTCTGGCGAAGGATATTGCCCATAATTCTTTGCGGTACACACCAAAACATCGGGAAAATGCATTTAAATATAAATTTTGAAATATATATGCAGTATGTGTGTAAATAAGTTTTGCCATGTTACTTGGAAAGAAGCATAAACGTCTGATGAAGAATTACGAACATTGTGCTTTAACAATTTAATAACTTTTTAAAGCAAGCGTTTATATAACATTCAATTTAAACTTTACACTCAGTACAGTAATCTTAGAATGTATAAAAACTGACCAGATAACAGTTACTTACCCACATTTAACTTAAAATTATACAGCTATCTCTAATTAAAAACAACTAATATACATGTATTTTAACGTGTGTGAAGCAATTCATTTTGTTTCCCAAAGGGTCAGACAAAATTACCTTTAATGTTTATAAAGTTTAGGTCTGAAAATGACCATCTCTTGACGAGTCGATGACGTAACCTGCTCTCAGTGTGCACTGTCCCAATTCCGCCTTTTTTGCACACTTGTAACCTGCGCACTCCAACCCTGGTGTGCACTTCGAACAAATGCACACTTTGTAGAGGTGTGTAGGGTGCAGTGTGGGTATTGGGACGGGGCCTTAAATTCCTGTGCTCTTTCTCTTTTGTTTTCAGTACAATGTATATTTGTTCCCATGTTCTTGTCTTCGTCCTCAGTTCCTGTATTTTACATTCAGTTAAGTTTTGCTTTTGGATTCTTGTTTGTTAAAATTTATTAATTTTTTGCAGATTTAATTTTGGGTCGTCCTTTTCTGAGACGTGACAGTTTTTCCGTTAACATAGAGAGATAATACGGGGCGGGGT